AGTTTTGGCATTTGAATGCAAACACACGCTCCACGTTTTGAATAATAATATCAATTCTAGTCTAATGTACAAAAGAATATTTTAATATAATTCTTGATATATATTTCTAAACTATCTCTGTAGTTATTTCACTTATTCTTAAAAAGTCGTACGTTACGTGCTCATTTGTCGCTTTTCATCACAGCCTAAAAAGCATTAGACAGAAAGAGACGAAACACTACATTAGTAAAAAGAGTGCAATTAGACTATCTATTATAGGAATACTATTCAGAAGTAAAATATATATTATCTTAAGAATTTGAACTCGCCTTAAACATTTGCTAGCACATAAGAAATACAACAGATTTGACCAGATAATAATAAAATCAGTTTTAAATTCACAAAAACAAATGCACAAAAAATATAAAATTAACTAATTCACAACGTAAAATGTACGTTTAAACGTTATCTTACTTTCAATTACTGGAAATAATTATCGAAGCGACATGAGACAACCTTGTGGGGAAGTAATTATAAATAAAATGTAATACACAAAAAGGAAATTAAACTAGTTTTAAAAATCAATAAAAAATGTGTTCTAAAATTAAATTTTGGTCATTACACTACCATGAAAAGAATACCGAATTTTTAGGTCAGTCCTGCGCTTGACAAAAAGGAAATTGCAGTTCAATTTCCTTTTTGTTTTAAAAATCGATAAAAAACTGTGTTCTAAAATTAAATTTATTTCATTATACTATGATGAAAAGGATACCGACTGTATGTCAATAGTCCTGGGCTTAACAAAAAGGAAATTAAACAGGTATTAAAAATCAATAAAAATGTGTTCTAAAATTAAATTTATTCCATTATACTATCACTTCCGTTTTTCCCCGTTTTCTATAAAAACAGTTTGAACGTTTTAATTTCGTAGTTGCTAAAACGAGGCATAGATTAATCGGGCATGTCCAACTGAGCTACGATGTTTGGCTTAGACTCAATAGCTTGGTAATTAGGTCGAGACTCGTGACCGAAGAGGCTTTAAAGTCGTATAAAGCTGTATTTAGTATGAAAGAGAATCTATTAACTTATGTTTTAGTAAATGAGAAGAAGAAAAGAATCTTTTTAAATTGGCATGCTCATTTTACCTTCATCAGTTTCATAGAGAAGTAGGGAAGGGTATGACGGGTCTGGGCGTTACTGCATACGATGTTTTGCATTTTCTGAGAAGATTTACTATGGTAATATATATATATTTTTTTACCATAGGAAAGTAGAGATTTCAACGAACTGAAAGCACACCAACTTTTTGAAAAAAGCTGAAATTTTTACGTCAGAATTTTCGATTGAAAATTAGGGTGTTTTTTCGATATTAATTCAAAATAAGGTAAAAATATAAATATTTTAATCAAATAAATTACAGTATATTCGGGACATAATAAGGTAAGTTTTCACCATATTTCGTTAAAAAAAAAGAAATTTGTAAAAGATAAAAATTAAAAACCAAAAACTTGGTTTTTTGAATTTTTCACATAAATTTTGAGGTTATGTGAAAAATGTGTGAATACAAAAGTTTTAGATCTTTTTATTACCTACAACTTTGCCATTTAACTTTCTTCGATAGGACTTTTAGTTTTGCCGGAAATCGAGATAAACCGTTTTTTACCCTTAAAACTCCCCCGACCAAACGTACACCAAATTTTTTTATAAGGTCATACAAAACATTATGTCTCTGGCAATCACAAGAACACAATTAGCCAAGTGCATAATCGTGTACATCTAGCGTAGTCGTAAAAATTTTCATACATTATCGTTGAAAGTAAACATTTTACGCCTTCTCAAACCTACTCATACCGTTGGCTACTGTACACGGTATTAGTACATCGCTTACTGCTTACTGCCGGTGAAAGTACAATAAATTTCGGATAAAACGATAAAAACATGACTTCACTCTTTACAAACAAAACTTGTTTAAAGAAATGAAATTTATTCAATCTAAATGTTTAAAGAATTATATGTATACAATATTGCATGCGAATTTATGACGCATTTTTTAAGTCTTCTGCAAATAATACAAAATTTAAAAGTATTTTTCGGGTAGTGAATTTGAAAAGGCTTTATAAATTTAAATACTTTTTGTATGGGGTCTATAACTATGTGCTTGAGGCAAAACGCGCGGATCAAACCTAGTTAACGTAAAAAATTACTGTATTCTCACATAAAACGGATATCGAGAACCAATTTTAAGCCAATCACAGAGAAAGTCGAAGACTTAATAAAATAAGACCCTTAATTTTGTATTATCAAATATTCCTATTCAGAATATCGTAAAGATTCATGTCACGCTCAATCTATGATAAAATGCCGATAGAGTACACAATGGGCGCAATCACCTTCTAAGAACAGTTAGACAAAACCTTCGCTTCACTTCCTCATAACTGAGATGAAGTAACGGCACCGAGTTATGTAAATAACGTAACGAAGGCAATGTCAGGAACCGGTATTAACTAGAACAGGATTTTGCTGATTACAAGTTCAAAAAACGTTAGCTTTACTTTCGTTTGAAACAGGATTAATCCTCGCGTAATTATAGTTTTCTAAAAGCAAACTTAAATCCGGACAGTTTCTATGAAAGATAATATTTCTGACATTGCTTTTGTTGCCTAAATTATATGTTTAAATATAGAATACATTTTTGGAAAACAAATGAGCGTCGCAGGATTGTTCGACAGATTGTATTTCCTTTATCCTCAAGTAGTAACTTCCCTTCTAGATATATCAAGTGATGCAAGTTTGAGCAGAGTTGGCCTAGTGGCTTCAGCCTGCTACTCTATTCCCTGAGGTCGTAGGTTCGATCCCCGGCTGTGCACAAATGGACTTTATTTCTATGTGCGTATTTAATATTCGCTCGAACGTTGAAAAACATCGTAGGAAACCGGCTTGCCTTAGACACAAAAAGTCGACAGCGTGTGTCAGGCACAGGAGGCTGATCACCTGCTTATTAGATTGTTAATCATATGAATGAAACTGATACAGAAATTCTAAGCCAAACCTAAAAATGTTTAAATATATATAAACCGTCTATCTACGGAAAAGCATAAACATGCCCCGGTGCTTATTTTTGCATTAAGCGTCACTGTTTTGCATGAAGCACGAATGCGTGGGCTTTTCGAGCATATATTACAGAAATGACTTCATTGGTTTGTTCGTAAACATAATAATAAAAGCATATTTATGTAACTCAAACTCAAAATAACTTTATTCATATAGGTAACCGAGTACACTTATGAACGTGAACAGAAAATATGGTAGTATGGTAGATTTCCGTATACAGAACCCTAATATTTACGTTCTAGTAGCAAGTGAGAGAAATCTTTAAGTGCATTGAATCGTTAGACGATCGATGCGCACAAACCGAAGCAAATTACTTGTTGTAAATAGCATCAAGTGAAATTCAATGAACATAAAAAATTAATTCGAAATCTGACACAAAAATAACATTTGCAAATAATAGAATGTTTTTGTTTGCCTATTGGATGTAATCTATGAAAGTATAATATGTGCATAGGGCTTGTTAAATTAACTTTAAAAATACCAGTGGTGCAACAACATTTTAGTTCTGGGCTTCAGATTTGTGTATAAGCTATTCTTACAATGAAGTTCCACTGTCTTTCTGTGTGAACATTTGGGACAAACTTGGATTGGGGATTTTTGTATTAAATATCTAACCATATTTATAATATATGTAAAATTCCTTATAAGTAGGTAGATGTTTACATAATAACCTGACTCTCATCTCATACCTAATTTTTTGTTGATTTAATGACCATTAAGTCAAACAAATAGTACTTCATTTATTTAGGATAGTATTTTGTCAATAATATTTGCATAAATTGTATTTAAATTCAACATTTATATGTTTATTTTATCCATTCATACTTTATTGCATGCAATAAAAATAAAAACAACACATAGTGTATTATATAACTAATATGGGACATTATATTTATCAGAGCTTCAATTATAACTTAAGATCATCTAATTACAGATGCAAGGCCATGTATTCTGTTGCAATATGGCTTCTTGTATTTACTCATTGTTTCATAAATCATATCAAATTGAAAAAAAATACCTTTGAATAAATTCTCTTTTAATTTATTTAAATATATATATATATATACCAGTTATATTAGGAAATGCCATCGTTGTTTAGTTCATGATACTTATGAAGCTGAGATCATCAACTTGTAATCATATTTATAAATAAGCCAAGGTAATAATCATACTTTATAATAGTTTTTGTCTGATACTCCAAAGACCGTAAGATAAAAACACATATAAATCAATATAAAACAACTTTAGAATATATTTTAGATTTTATAAACTTTGGTGTTAGTAATTTCTTAGGTTATAAGAGTTTGTTTTAAATTACTATAAAACAATCATATAGCTATTATCAGTGTTACTTTTATGGTAATATTTAAAATACTTCACTTCGCTAGCAAAGTGACCATATTTTATATCCTTTACCTTCGTCATTTAGTTCATGTTCGAATATGTAAATTCGAATACACATCCTGTATTCGAATGAGAATTTCTCGTCAAGAACAGGTTTCTTGCATCGGCTGTGGAGCGTCATTGTTTCAATTGGTATATGTTGTTCGTGCAATTTTTATGGTTTATTGGTGGGGGTGTTATATTGTATAGTGTGTCACTGGCCTGAGTGTGTAATAGGTTAATTATTTAAATATTTTCGACGACCTGGTGGACGGAAAAACTGTGTCCAGTTTGTGTTTCCACCACGCCAACTTTTTTCTATTTAGGATGATGTATAGAATAAATAAATAAATAAAAAAAAAATTGTTACCAATGTTTACCAGTTGTGATAAAAATTAAAAAACATTGAAAGTAGTGATGCAAAACTTGAATAAAAATATAAATTTTAATAAATATTACCTGAGTAACAAAAATTAGTCTTCAAACATCAAATGTCAATTGCAGTTTGTAATATGTAATAACCATGCCTATATAAAAGTTTGAGATATATTCCACTTACCAGATCTTGGTGATATTGGCACTGCCGGTTTTGGTGCAGCATTAGAGCAGAGCCTTCCAATTTTTGATGGAGGCTTGAGGCCAGATGGCTTCGAAAATGTATTAGGTCTTGAAGATTCTGATCTAGGTATCGTAGAAGCAGTGGTGCTTACAGATGTTTCCGAGGAAACCGACGACGGCGCCGGAGGTATTCCCGTCGTCTCCAACTCATTTTTATCACTCATTCTTTATACACTTTTAGCACTTTTAATAAAACTCCCGCATCCTTATTAAATCATGACCGAGTTACTGAAATCGCATAATTATAATAAGCGACCGAAACATTGAAAACAAGACGCGACTTAAAAACTAAAAATATCTTCGTTCCCGCGCACTTTGAAGACGCGTTATCTGGATCACGGCCATGACAAGAGCAAATATATTACATTTCAATATTTATCAGCTTCATTCAGCTTTACCAAAATCTATGTTAAAATACAACGTACCGTCATACACGCGTTCTAAACTTCTATTTTAATTATAGGTATATCATACAAGATTTTTTTTAAATAGGTTTCTAACTGATTACCGTTAAAACTGAGAAGCTGTAGGAATAATAATAGGATATAAAAAGCTTGGAATACATCAGAAAAAAGATCGCAAAATTTTACCGCTCGTTGGACCAGCTGGGCTTGACGTTAGAAACGTTATCACACAATTCACAGCACGAAACACATTTCACACTTAGATTAACTTGGCAATTCACTGCAAGTATAAAAAATATTTACCGAATATAGCGTCTTGTCCGTTTTTACGCTCTAATTAGATCGCAATTCAGTAAAACAGATTTTATTATTTACGTCAACAATCACCTTTACGAGATAGAAGAAAATCACACGACAAAAAAACTTAAACCTGTATGAAATTATCTAAACACGACAACTGACATTTCTGTCAGTACTTAGTACAAGAATAACTATTCATATCTACAACAGTATGACCATAGATGAAGAATCTGTAGACCGAAGACTTGCGGTAACTGTACAATACAGCATTACGTTACTAGAAAATATCAATCGTATTTGAGTTAACAATGGATTTTGCTTAAACTAACTAATAAATAAAGGATTAGAATGTTTTTGAAGATTTTGTTTTAATTTCTGAATACGTTAAAAAAATATTCCGTTACTTCTCCTCCCAATCGATGACCAATGTATTTCTAAAATACTTCAAGAACCTCTATATTTCTTTAAATCATCGTAATTAGGAATTAGGATCCCGAAAAATCTCATACTCCAATAAAATTGGATTTAATTCGAATTAGTATTACTTTAACGCTTAACACTTATATCGTATAACTTTCATATTTATATGTCTACGGCTAATATATGAAGTAAATTTTTGTAAACTGAAAATATACACTAATTGACATAACTCTTTCACAGTTGTTTTACAGGAAAAGTCCGAAATTAGAGTCTCTTAAAACTAATTTATCTGTGGAGTGTGGAGGTGGACTATGGACTATGGAGTATGGTTTGACTTTGAGTCAACACTCAACAAGGTGATAGGTTGTATTATAACTTGTAGTGATATTTATTAATTGTTCATAGCAATTTTTTTAATATTTTGCGAAGTACAATGAAAACTAAAAGTTATCCCTGAATATATCTTGAGTAATTGGAGTAATAAAAAATGAATAAATCTATTTTTTAGTCACCTTAGAAAATAAAATAAAAATGAAGTTAGTGTTTAAAAACATTGAAAAAGATGGCAGTGGGTAAGTATTTATTTCTAAATATTGCCTTAGGTCAGATTATTAGGTATTTACTATTGTTTATATCCATTTTCAGGAGCATCGGTCTTATATCTGAGGAATCTGAGGATATGTGGCATGCTTACAACCTAATAGCTGAAGGAGATTCTGTTACTGCATCGACCGTACGAAAAGTCCAAAATGAGTCGTCGACGGGCTCTTCGACAAGCAGTAGGGTTCGAACTACGCTTACTATAACCGTGGAAAATATTGATTTCGATACACAAGCATGTGTTCTTCGTTTGAAAGGCCGGAATATTGTTGAGAATCAATATGTGAAGGTAACAAAATACATAAATAAATAACATTAATGTTCTAAGCCAGCCTAATTTGCAAAATAATAAATTTTATGTAAAACCTTAGATGGGGGCATACCACACATTAGACTTAGAATTAAATAGGAAGTTTACATTGCGAAAGCTACAATGGGATTCTGTAGCCTTAGAACGAGTAGATATGGCCTGTGATCCAGCAACCTCGGCGGATGTTGCTGCAGTGGTAATGCAAGAGGGCTTAGCTCATGTATGCCTTATTACATCATCAATGACATTAGTCAGATCAAAGATAGATATAACAATACCTAGGAAGCGGAGAGGCTTCACACAACAGCATGAAAAGGTATATTTTTAAAATAAATATTTTAGATAGTTGTATAAACTAGTTATAAAAAACCTATGCAGCTTTAAATTTTAGAGTTAATGTTTTCTGCTTAACATATCTGCATAATATATTACATACTCATAAGTTGGCTCCATGTAAATGATCCATTATAAACAGATGATTCCTAAAAATAATGACTAAGTATGGTCTTGAATTTCTCCTGGCGGAAAGTACACAAATAAAATAGATTTTATTCTGACAATTAAATGACACATAGTAAAAAAGTCACTGTTAACAATAAATTCGTTTCAACATTGATCACACGATGGTTCAAGTGACCATAAATACAAGAAGAAATTTCAACCAAGAGTAGGTCATCAAAAGTAATATTATTAGTAATGAGGAAATTCTTACACATAACTTTAACATTGCCCTAGAGCATCCTTCAAAAAACAGTGATTTATAAGAAACATACTTACAATTCACGTTTATATTAAAAATGAAACACTCAAGGGCAAGACACATTCAAAAAAAGAAATCTCATCAATCATATTTACAATTAATTGAACAAAGAAAACACTTAGTATTGTCTTTTATTGACATAACTTTTAGGCATAGAAAAACACTTTTTTAACGGATTTGAAGTTATGTTTTTTTAAGTTATGCGAAACATCGGTTAAATTTTAAATTATGTAAAATAATTGTAAATTTATAATAAAACATAACTTCAAATGCGTTAAAAAAGTGTTTTTTAACGAAAACACTTGTAAACAAATCTCAGCTAAAAGATTAATGAATAATAACTTAATATCTATGCCGGTTATATCTTTATATAACTGGCTCGCCAATTAATTATAAGTGTTAACACTATAAATAGTACTACACATTTCTATGTACTAGGATAATTATTTTACAGCAATTAAGGCTATTATTATTATTATGAATAAGATGGCTCATATTTAATTTCAGGGACTTGCTAAATTTTATGAAGCTGTAATGCAAGGTATACTCAGGCATGTAGATTTTAGTGTTGTCAAATGCATAATTATTGCATCTCCCGGATTTGTTAAGGATCAATATTATGACTACATGTTGCAACAAGCAATAAAAACTGACAATAAGCTTCTTATTGAAAATAAATCAAAATTTTTGCTGGTCAAGGCTTCATCGGGATTTAAACACTCACTTAAAGGTAAGTTAAAACTTTGGATCTTGCTCGAACATAGAGGATAAAACTAAGATTATACAAAACACATATGAATCTTGAATTCTGAATGGAGAACATACAAGTATCTTAACCTATTTTGAATAATATTATATATTATATTACTACTAATCACATTTAAAATAAATTAAGATCAGCTAGGTAGAAACATCTATTTACAAACCGCAATAAGGTAGTTTTATAACATTAATATGTATGTCACTATGATTCAATTACACTTTATAATTTGTGTAGTACTGTCTTATCTAAATATTACACTGCAGGTTATTTTGTAACATAGTGATTTATCTTTAGGTAAATAAGTAATCGAAAAATAAAAACATTGGAATACAGATAGGTGGCCAAGCAATCTGTTGCAGCCATATATCTTTATATATATAATTCTTCTGTGAGTGTGTATGTCACTGAACTTCTCTCAAACGACTGGACCGATTTTGATGAAATTTTTTGTGTGTGTTCAAGGGGATCTGGGAATGGTTTAGATTCACAAATCAGCCCGGCAGATGGCACTGCAGTCGGTACTTTCATACTTTGCTTAATATCCTAATCGCTTTAAATATCATGCAGGACAACGTCTGTGGGGTCCACTAGTTTGACATATAACTCTGTTATAATTACAGAAGTTTTACAAGAGCCATCGGTAATGGCCAAGATATCAGACACAAAAGCAGCAAGTGAAGTTAAATTGTTGGAAGGTTTCTACACAATGCTGCAATTGGAGCCAGCAAAGGCATTTTATGGAAAGAAGGATGTTCTGAGAGCAAATGAAGCTTTAGCAATTGAAACACTGATGATTTCAGATACATTATTTAGGTATATGTTAGAATCCATTTCGTTGGTTGTTAATCAGTATTTGACAAGAGTTAAATAGTATTTGTACACTATCTATGCTAATTTTATTAAAAGTAAAGATTTGATTCTAAATTGTAATGAATAAACTCTAAAATCACTGAAAATTAATAAAAAAAAAAAAACAAACACCTATATAAACAAAGCACAATATTATGACAAATTATAATATTTATCATTTTATGGTGTCATGGTTATATGAGATAAAAAAAATAAAACAGTTTTATATAATAGTGTACCTTTCTTGAAACCGGTAGGACTCCGGTATATAATTGTGTATTTCAATGCAATTATTTAATTAAGAATTTTAAATGATTACTTATTTAACACTTTTATTTTACAATTTTGAAATTAAAAATATAGCCAAAACAGAGTACACCACATACAGATGAACTTTATTTAAAAGAAATGTTTGGTTATAAGAGCTACCAATTAATATAAGTCACACACACCAATTAACGATTTGAGTTTTTTATTATATTAGAAGCATAGGGGGTAATATACTGAGGTTTAAAAGATAAATGTAGGTATAGCAAAAGGTTTTTGGTAATTGTATAAAAATCCAGTATAGTTTTATAATATTATTTGTTAAAATTTGGCCTTTATATACTGTAAATAAATAAACAAGTCAAATTTGTACTCTATTATTCTAATTGGTTAAATTAAACTCTATGATGGTAATCAATAAATAAAAAATTATGTCACAACAATGACAATATTCTTAGTAATAATTTGCTAAATATATATTAACTGTATTTACTCAGGTGTCAAGACATTCAGAAGCGTAAAGAATATGTCGGTCTGGTTGACTCGGCCAGAGACAATGGTGCTGATGTCAGGATATTTTCTAGCATGCATGTTTCTGGTGAACGTGAGTTGATATCAATTATTTTAATTTATTTATACTATAATTCAGTGGCCTTAGTCCTTTGGATCTTGTCCTCAGATGGCATGTCTTTAAAAATATTTTTGTGGGTTATTAAGTGTATGACATGCCCGGATCCCCCTTCTTGCCTGCAAGTATTAATTGCGCATATAGAAAAATCAATTGCATTGCTAAACTAAAACAATGATACAAATTAATAATTTTATAGAGTTATATAGAGTCTTATTTAGAGGGGTAAGGGAGCGTTCAAGTATTACGTAACGAATTTTGGTTAGGGGGGGTCCTTTTGTAAAACGTAACGATGCGGGGCGGGTATTGAATTACGCGTTATTGTTTATATTATTTTCGACTTTCCAGTACTTTACACCACGTAATGGTAAGTTTTAGGTAAGTATAAAGATTGCGTGACGTAATACTTGAACGCTCCCTAATTCACTTATGTTGGTTACATCTAAATAAGAAAATACGAAATTATCTAATAAAACGCGTGACTAACCTGAGGGTAACAGTGTGGTGGCACTTTATTGTTTAAACATACTAGCAGACACAACGGACGTCCTGTACACGTCTTAAATTTAAATAATAAATTGTGCGTGTACTAGGTGTACACACGTAAGAAGTGAAACTTCTTTATGATCTTATTTTTCGAAAAATGATCTACTATAGGTATGCAACTTTACAGAAATTCGTTAAATTAGATAAAGTTTAACAAAAGGCTTTTATTATCATAGACATGAATACAAATATTTCATTTTACCTTATTACTACGAAGATTATTATAGAATTTCATTAATTGTAGTAGAATTATTACTATCATTGAAAAACGTGACGATTTGCTACAAAATTTCTCCCATACGTCAATAAAGAAGTTTCATTCCAACGCCGATAAAGAAGTTTGACTTCAAAAAGCAACATGGCGCGTAACCGAAAAGTGTGACGCGTAACGAAAAAATGTTACACTAAATTTTTTTCCAACCTCGATAAAGAAGATTCACTTCAAAAAAAAATCGATACAACTGAAAACATTTATTTATTAGCTCAGCACATAAACATAAAGCACAGTCAACAATTTTACCTATTTATACAAAAAATAAAACAAGAATAAAATATATATCTATATATATAATAATGTTATGTTGGTTTGTGTACGCTTCAAAAACTCAAAAAGTTCTGCGCCGATCGAGCTGAAATTTTAAGTTTTTATCTATTTGTTTTTCCACAAGTATTGCAAAATTAAACTTATATGAAATGTATTCTTTGTTTTGTTTCTCATTTTTCAACCATTCAATCACAATGTTCCACAGCGAAGTGTGGCAGGGTACAGCTAGTTTAATAAATTGTAAGGTGCATTGATCATTATAATATACATATTCAATATAAAGGAAGAAAAACAAAGCCATTTTTAATAAAAGATACCAAAGTTTTTATTATTTTTTAAACATTTTATAGTTACATCAAATATATATATATATTTGCTGGTAGTTTGTGTTAAAATCTGAAGATAATTTAATAATTTAATACATGACTGAGAACATAAAAGTAATATTTATTTATAAACATTTCAGAGCTGGATCAACTAACCGGTGTAGCAGCTATTTTACGTTTTCCCATGCCTGAGCTCGAGGACAGTGATGCTGAATACGATTATTCGGATTCTGATTAATTTTTAGGTTATGTCAAAATATTGACATTTTAATATGCGGAGGAATACGATTTTTGTGTTACCCATGCCTGCTACGTTTTTCATACATTTTCTTGATTTGACTTTTACTATTCGATTTAACGTATTTGTACAGTTCATGAAGTCGAATAGCTCTGTCAAACTATAATTGTTGTATGGGTAATTCTATTAGGGCTTCAGTTATTTGGAGCTTAACAGAAGAATTAACATATTAAACTAATAAACAAAATAAAGTTGAGTAAACAAATTGCATGTATTATCGATCCGATAATAAGAGCGTTCTCTAGTATTTATTATAGAATATTTTTATTACTGGAACCTAAAGGTAAGGCCCTAGATTTCGATTGGGTTAGATAGACATTGCTAGGCCAATTTTGAAGTTAGTGGGAATTTGTTTAGTTTTGGATAAATGTTCCTCATTAGCTTATTAAAATGTTAAATGTCTAAGGCAATTATTGGCTGTTAAGTTATAATAAATAAGACAAAAACATTGCTTTTAATATTTATTTATTTTTAAAATAATGAAGCTATAGTTGTGAACCTATTGTCTTTTACTTGCTTATAACGTAATTGGCGTATATAGGGTTATTTCTGAGACCTTGTGAATTTTCTTTGTATCCTAGATATCGAATCGCCTACGCGACAGCCTGCATTGGTACTCTGTAACTCCCAATCCCGATTTTAGTTTGTATCGCGTAATTCCAAGGTTGCCATATTACTATATAAAAAAACTTGTATAGAAATCGTCGGGAACAGTATCTCTATTGAAAGTTACCGTACGGGTGTAGGTCCCTCTATATACGCGTATTTATAAGATACATTGTCTCATTTTATATTTCTTTTATCAGATCTTATGTTGTTAATTATTGACATGTTTTAACATAGATAATTGTAAATAAATTGACACTGAAGTGTGATATTATAAAATTCCGTTTTACTGTAGTTAGAAAAATTTAATTTCTGTATATAATTTAATAGTTTTTGTTATTAATACAAATCAAGCATTTACACATGGTGTTTATTATTGCTATACATCAAATCCCTAAAACCACTTTATAATGAATTTTCTTACACCATTATTTTGTGGACGACACAAAAAGAAAAGAAAAGTTATTAGGTTTTGGCCATTCTTTCGATTGGCATCATAAAAGTAGGGGTGTTTTTTTTTTAAATTTAAGCCGGTTCGATTTCCAGACGAGGCAAGTAGTTTTTTTAAAAAATCTTTGAATGCAGAATTACTAACTTTTAAAAATAACATAAAGTCTTCTTTTAGTAAAATACCTAATCTGCGATATTTAAGGTACTTTCCCTTCATGTCTCATAACTTTGGGACGCCCTGTATTATATTTCTATTTTTGTTAAAAATATTTTTCCTTTACCTCTCTCTGCTGGTACGATAAGGCTGTAAATATACTTTACAGCCTTATGGTAGTATACTCAGATATGTACAGTTATTAATGACCTTAAGGGACACCTCAAACGTCGTCGAAGTTTTTATCAGCTGTAAAGAATAATCTGGAGTAAAATGTACGGCATCTGGTTTTTTTTGTTTATTTATATTTGTTACATATAACATAACAATAATCTTTGAAAATATTACTCCCCATATTACTCTAGGAGCATTTGAAAAGTCATCTAAATTTCATATATTTTTTATCATAATATTTTTATTTGTTACCATTTATAATGAACGGCTATAATGTACAACGGTAATATTTAGTAACATTATGTAAAATAACAAGTTGCCGTACATTATTCTCTCATCTTACAGCAGCAAGAACTTGGTAAATCCTGAAATTTCGATAAATATTTAATTACACAAATATTAACTATAATATTTGGACGGCATAATTATAAAACATTATTGTCCGTGTTAAATAATATTTTGAACATGTTGCCGTACATTTTACAATGACCTTAGGGTATATGGGTGTAGGGGTAGGGTTCCGACCCTTGGCTTTCGACCGTTCCCCTGGAAATATGTACGGCGTTTACGGGTAAAGTATCTGTATATGTGTCCAAAAGGAATCACACAAATGCCGTACAGTAATAAATGACCTATATTGCTTCTGCAACTGTCGTCGAATTAAAAATTTGCACCGACTTCCGGTACCATCACTTTTGTACGGCACTAGGTTTTTCGACATTTATTTTTAATCATCTATACACTTATAACAAAGCCGTACATTAATAATTAGTCGAAATTCCCCCATTGTACCTGAGAAAGTCCATTCACTCACGTACTCACATGTACCGCTCAGAAATGACGGCATAGTGCTCAGAGCTATTTTCAGATATAGTAACAGCCTTCTAAGCGTAATTCATGTTGGGTCATTTCACAGGTATTTTTTGTTCATGGGCTTGTGGTCTATTATTATGAATTACTATATGAACCCATGAAAAAAAGGTATTTAGTACGAGTTCCGGCTGCCGGATTAGTGCGCTCACCGCTAGTATTTAGTATAGCGGCCAAATTTTGATAGGCACCTTGGTAGATATGCTTTCTCCTAATTATAAATATACATAAAAAATTGGTTTTTAGCAAATAACAGATGAGCGCACTAATCCTGCAGTCGGATCTTAGACCATTATGGATGGCATCTTTAACATAGACCAATAAAGACATTGTTCAATAGCATTTTGGGTAAGTATTAATGAGATCATAATTAACGATGAAAATACCAGGCTATAAAATCTTAAAAAAAAGAATTACAATGAAAGAGTAGTTAAAAAGTATAAAATAAAACGTTATAAACTTTTATTTTATATTATAAATATAAAATAAAAGTTCTTGTGCGACTAACGGAACCCATTTCATATTTTCATCCAATGTACTGGTTTGGATCACGAGAAAGAACAAAGCCAAACATATCTGAAATTTATAAATTAATTCTCATTTAAACAGAAATTTTAGCAAATTAGTTTTTGAATTTAAAAGAACATTTCTGTTCACAATGAAAACACAAATTGACATTGATAACATATTTATTAGCAATTATATATCTTGATTACAATGCTGCATTAAGAGCCTCTTCCTTCTGCTTCTGCTTTTCAGCTTTCCGTTCCTCTTTGACCTTTTCATCGTGAAGGCGCCTTTTCTTTCTTAATAACCATATATCTTGTTTCCTCTTTTCTTGACCGGCCTTCATGCTCTTGTACAAATTCCTGTGCTTCTTCCGAACTAATTTCTCTCGGAGTCTGTAAGCTTGCTTGTCTTCTATCTCTTTCTGGTAAGGATGCTCCTTATGAGTGATACCAGTTTTGACAGCCATCTTCTTTTTCTGGGAATCAAAAACAACAAAATGTAGTCACATGTTTGATAAATTTTTTTGTAACACAAGTGTTTCTATGCTTTCAGAATACCTTCTTTAACACACATATCAACTAATTTTTTAATCATGTAAATTCTATTTTAAATAAGTGATTTTGATTTTTAAACATTTCTTCACATACATATACACAAACTAAACTATCTAGTTTGAGTGTTTAAAGCTTTGTTGAAGTTAATTCTATTTTAAAATACTAGTGGACCTAACAGAGATACTGTAATTGTAATTCTAAATCATTTTCGAATCTAATCGAACAAACTCAAATAATTTATATTAAATCGGTCCAGCCATAGGAGACGAAACACTTTATTCTTAGTTTATGCAGATGCATCAGCTAATGTCCTGTACATATATTAAATTACTTTACTATTATGCAACTTCTGTTAAAATCTTACCTTTTCCTTAGATAGTTTCTTTTTCTCGTCAAGTTCTTCTTCATCACCATTATCAGAAGCAGAGTCTTGAGCAACTTCAGCTTGATACTGCTTTGTAAGAATCTGCTCTTCTGTCTCAGATTCCTCATCACTCTTTTCCTCCTTGTCTTCGTCACTTGCCTCTTCAATATCTTCAGATTCATCTTCATCATCACCTTTAACCAATTATACACTTAATCTTGTGCATGACAATAAAAACAGTAACATTAATTATCTAGTAAAAAGGATTTAAATTTGTTGTTTAAAAAGAAGTGCAGGAGGCCAGGTACCTGTACCTTACTAGAGGTGATCACTTACTTGTTAATGTAGAAAAAATATTTAGGCAGGGGAATGAGCCTACCCCATATATACACCTATTTCACTACTGTTTCCATATAAACTTAGGGAAAGATTGATATTTAGTATGGAAGTAAAATTTAGTATCTCGACTCTGAATACTATATCCTACAATTAGAACAAAAACAGTCACAATAATTAAATTTTCAGCTGTTTACTTACCAGGAGGCTTGTAATCTGGATCATTGAGAGCTCTCTGCTCTGGTGGTATGTAAACTTGGTCTTTTGTTTTGTCAATGAATGGTGACAGGTGAGGTGGCAAGGTTGCGCCCATAAGGTACTTATTTATGGGAAGTAAAGTTCTTGTATTAACACTGTCAAAAACCCATTGTGGCTGAACATAGTATCTTGATAAATACTGCTTGTCCATGCTTGGACGGTCCACAATCTGATATGTTATTGACTCATCTGTTTCATCAAATGTAGCCCCAACAAAGTGTTCACGGTCCCATGAGACTTCACCACCAAAAGATCTAATTATGAAAACCAATGGCTCTCTTGGTACTTCTCGATTGATGAAGAATTTTAAACCTTTGAATAGTGTCTTCAAAACTTTAATCTGTTCTGCTTCTTTTCTGGCTTCTTCAATCTTGAGTGGATCTTGGTCATCTGTCTCAAATACATCCATTTCAGGAACTTCTTCAACCTCATTTGACCCTACAACTTTAGCTAATGACAGGTTCATAGCTGCAATTCTTTCTGAGACATAAGCCTGTTCATCCACCAGGGCCTTCTCAGAATCAGAGTTAAAGCCAGCAGTCAATTTAGGAGGATATACCAAGTTAAGTGAATTGTAAAGTTTAAAATTGACAAAACCAAGCATTGTTATGTAAAACTCTACAAATGTTGACATTATTTTAAAATCAACTTCGTCTTTGCTTTGTGGCTAAAATAAGAATAAAAAAATAAATACATCTATAATAATAAAAATCTTTTTGTATTAACAACAAATAATAAATAGTACCTGGAAAGAGAAATGATGAGGAACAATCCATGTTATTGTTTGTCCTTCTAATTCTGCTTGATAATAGTATCCCTTTACAGAGATAAATACTCTCCTAATAGCCTTTGCAACAATCAGTGCATGCATAAATTCAATTGTCAATCGTCTACAAAGCATAGATTGGTCTCTTGGCACCCTTTTTAATGAAGGGAATGTGCTGAACAAGAAGCATAGAGTAAGACAATCATCCAAATCCCTCAGGGCATCAACAAAAGTTGGATATCTTTCTTTTACAATATGATCAATATTGATTTCAGGGTAGTCTCTGAAGTATTTTTTCACTTTGCCATGTTCTTTCAATGATTTTGCACGACGAATTTTTTGTTGGAATACCTAAAAACGTATATGATTATGAAATATAGCTTAAAGGCTAATTAATGCAAGTAATTTGATTTGTTAATTTAAAATAAATTTAAGTACCTTTAATTCGCGGATCTTCCATATTATTGGTTCGTGTAAAAGAAATTTTATATCTTTAGTATGATATAGAGTTTTAATACCCCCAGCACCTTTTTGAGCCCTTTTTCTGTTTCGTGGTTCACGAGGATATATTCCTTTTAGAATACAGATTCTCCTAAAATCTTTTAGAGTCAGTTGAAGTTTCTTTAATGCGGCCTTCCTAGTCATAAACTGCGCTCCCTCTCCAGATGAATACTAAAATGTGAATCCAATAAAAGAACATAAATTATTTGTCGAAGTATAGACATTTAAATGGTTTATATTGTTTGTTTAAGAGAATTAAATATAAAATAATAAAAACACGTGAACACGCTGTAATAGACACGTGTTTGGTTATAATTTGAAAATTACCTTCTTTTTCTTCTTTGAGACCATTGTGGATTTATTTTAATTTATTGACGATAGTTAAATCTCAATTATTTTGCCAAATATGATATTAAAACACAAATATATTTAATTCACAAACTACGCATTTTAAACTTTAACCATGCTTGTTTTGACTTAAGTTATGACTAATGACTATATGGAAATTTTCATTGAGTTTTGACAGTGACATTCACATGTATTATCTTTCAACAATGAACAACATCGTAGTATTGACATTTGAAATCTAGTCTGTGGTTTGCAAACACAGAGTCAGCAGTATTAGGAAGTGTGAATAACTAGCATTTTTTGAATAGTAATGGGGATTTTTGGACTTGCATCGAAATTAAAATTTAAACTACTTTAAATTTTATCTGGCTCTATTTACTATGACGAAAATAACGAATTTATAAATCTGTTGCTATTAGCTAAAAGTACGATTGTGGAAGGAGCATTTAATATTTTTGAAGTTATACTTCTTTAGGCGCGTTATGAAAAATTTATGAGAGTGAAATTTTACGATGCGCGCGCACCGTGACACAAAATTATCAGTATGGGCGCCGAGCGTGCGCGAGCGAGATCGGAATAAGACAATCTACAAGTAAAAAGAAATAGAATATGCGTGACGTTAGCAGCTATGCCAAGAATTTTGAATGACCATAATGACATTTGTAGTACCTTTTAAACAAATAAAGGAGTTTTAATTATTTTTTCAAAGACATTTAGCAATGCTTTTTCACAAAGACCTATTGTTACTTAGTTAAAAGGTTATGAAACATACCTAGTTATTAAATTGAATTAATAATATAATAAAATAATACATAATAATTATTATTAATATTAATTAATAATTGAATAATATACTAAATATTAAATAAAGAAAGCCAAAGAAGTATAACTTCTTACGCGCGTACATAAGTACACGCACCATTTTTTTTAATATACCTATTTAAAAAATCCGCATCACAATTTATGAGTTAAAATCTGATGAAAATGAAGTATGTATATATAAATTGTTAGAAACAAGAAGTTTAAAATATAAAACGAAATTAATTTAAAAAGGGTCAATGCTCCCAGTGTGAAGCGTGTGCAATCACGACCTAATAGCCAATACTTACAAGTGTAGGATAGTATTCGTATTTCTTTAATACATTATTTTAATTTTGTTTGAAAAAGTATGATTCTGTGCTTCAGTTTTATGAGGCAAGTGATATAAAATCACAAATTTTTGTACTTCTATGAACCAGTTATAAAAACGTAGGCTCTATGGATACCTAAAACCGTATATTACCTAATTGCAACAAAATAAAAATTCAATAAGAACTGCACCCATATAATATGATCTTTCCACTGACGAAAAAATTGCATAAGTGCGAATGAAAGAGTTTTTACTCTTAGAGAGGACATAGTGATGTCTAATTATTTAAAATACCACAAGTTTCTTCTAGAAATAACTCTAGTTATTCGATTTTCGAGACTTTCGAGCTAGTTACATTTTTGGATAAGATTATTTTTTTTGATTGTAGTATTACCTATGAATTTTAAATTTATAAAAGTTAAGCGATGGATAGATAGATAATAAAACAAGATTTAATCTTATTATATCAAACAATATAAGTTTTACCTACCAGGAGACTGTTTTATAAAGGAACAATTAATATATTTTTAAAATTTTATTAAAAAGAATAATTTACATAGACATAACTAGAATTAACTTATAAATAAAATTACGCACCATCCTTGGTAGATGTTTTTGAGTTCTCCGATGCGCTGATCTGGTTTGCCCATGCTCTAGGGTCAAACATCACGTACTGGAATGGATAGGCATAAGCATGGGGCCATGCAGCTGGTTGTGCTTTAACAGTCTCATCAATGCTCTCCTTCTGAGTGTAGGCATTAGCTATAGCAGATAACATCTGAGGATAGAAGTACTGGAACGGAGAATAATATGGAGCTGGGTGGGCGCATGGTGTGCTCTTCTCATCTGATTTTGGTACGTGGTACAGACTCTTTTCGGTTTCCGTAGGGAGGGCCTGCGCGAATTGAATTGGTGTTGTCAAAACTGCTCGCTTTTGAGGGGGAACCTCATCAGAATCCGTGGAAGTAAACGATAGAGGCAATTGGTGGTTTTCAGAAGCAGACGCTAGAAAGTTAATCGGCTGGTCCGTGAGCCATTGAGAGTTGACACCATGTTCTTCGGTGGCTGCTACGTATAAATCACCGGTTGTCCCATCATCTGAAGGTTTGACGTAAAGGCCGTGAACTGGCTGAAGATTGCTCGGGGTCTCCCAGACGACGCCGCATTGTACACATGTTATAATTAACGTTGAAAAAAGTAGGAAGCTGCGTTTAGCCATCTTTGCTCCTTAAACTGGAGGCGGAAATTAACTGTGGACAATTAAATTGTATTTTATATATGTTCAAGATTATATAAAGTTGATGAAGATCCAAGATAAGAACTTATAGATAATTAAGGCGAAAGTTTGAGTTAAGACACGTTTTGTTATAATTTCATTGATTGTCACGTTGGTAAGATAAAATAAGTTTTCTAGACTGTAGAAAGTGTTAATCTACCTCTGTTACTCAGGAATTTTCTAAATGGTTCTAATAAAATTTATATGATATAAAACGTTTATTTCCTAATGCGTTAAAAATCAATGTCTGTTTGAAGAAGATATTGATTTTTTACTCATATAATTTACGATTAAGTGAATATTGTAAAATAATAAAGATTAAAAGTTATTCTTTGTTTAACTCAAAAACTATATAACCGATTTTCTTAACCTACATAGTAATAATAAAAAGAAAATTAAACCAAATTTAAAAAGTTTGGTCCCTGCGGCAGTGTACCTTTAACGCTGACAGCATTGCCTCGCTGTCTTGCAATAATTACTCGCTAAGCTGGGAAAGCGCCAACTTAAATCTTTAATTGGCGCCTATAACCACCCCACGGCCCAAGAGTCTATACTCCAAAGGGTATTAAATCAAAGTTGGAAGAAAGACTCTTTTATTTGAGCCGTTTGTTATTACGCCTGCTCTGCGGCCGCCCTAACTTTTTTGCTTGTCCGAGGGAGATGAGACGGGGCTAACTTCTCCACACAAGTAGCGGTCTGTAATTAAAGTGTGGAACCTAATAAGTTTGAATAATTCAGATTTGCAAAGAAGATCATCCCAGCTCCTTTGAAAGCTCTTTTAATTGTAAATAATTGATTTATTTTTTAATAAACATTTATTAAAATATAACCGATTTCTAAAAATTTTCTAAAACTTTAGATACGTTTATTGTAACAAAAATCCATCTTTATAACAGAATTTCCAGGTCCTGTTACATTATAACATAATATAAATAAATTCGATTTATATCCAAGTTTTATTACAATAACGGATTATGCAAATGTATCGTATACTGCAAAGTTATTTAGTGATTTTCACGCTTATTCAATATGAGTGTTTTACAACATCCAAGTGTTTGTTGGACAACGAAGAGTTCTCTCTTTGTGGCTGGAAATGTCCAGTGACGTGTATTAATTTTAGATTACTTAAGGAGTCGTTAATATCGTTATGCCCCGAGAAGTGGGAATGTTCTGTAGGATGTCGCTGTTCAGCTGGTTACGTGCGTGATGAATATAGTAAGAATTGTGTGATGATTCAAGATTGTCCAGGTATGTTGATAACTTAATGGCATAATGTACTTGGTTTTTCTTCTTCGGGTGCCACTTTATTACTAAAGGTTGTCTGTTAACTTGAATTACCAGGTGAGCTTTCGCTAGTCAGCTCAAGATACCCGGCTCCTCAGGAAACAGCGCCAAGGCGGATGTGATAAAGTGATGAGTTCCGCAACCACTTTTTCCTTCTACCAGTCTCTTGAATTTTGCCTATCATACTTTCTTCACGGACATGCATTGCTCTTATAACACTTATTTCAAATGAATATTATAACGTGTTAAAATAAGTAATATATTTACACAATATACCCTAGCACCATTACTTGGACATGACAGTAATCCAATCGATTGATAGCTATTTATTATATAATCAAAAGTCAAAAATCAAAAATTGTTTAGTCATATAGGTAACACAATGTACACTTATGAACGTCAAAAAAGAAATATCCATTAAATGCTTCTAATTTTACATTAACTGCCAGTTCTCGAATCAAGGGCGTAGAACGAAAGAGAAGAACTGGCAATAAACTCTCCGCCACTCTTTTTGATCGCCAAGTTTTTTGTTTATACTTTACAAATAGTTTGTAAGGAGCTGCTGCAACCATTACACCATGTTCCACATGACATCTTAAACAATTAATAATAATAAAATAAATTAAAAACAAAGATTTGTCCTCTATCCGCAGGAAGCATGGTGAAATAGATCCAATATAATTAATCTTCACGCAACTATATGAACCTACATAGTAATAGTTAAAAATTGATAGGTAGAAATCAAAACAAATTTAAAAAAGTTTGGTCTCTGTGGCAGAGAACATTTAACGCTGGCAGCATTTCCTTGTTTTGCGGTACTTATTAGTTTTTAAGACCACTAACAAAATATTAATTAAATTATTTTTTAGATATATAGTAGAATAAAATATACATTGTACTATGTTACATATATAAGGTTACTCTGCATTCTAGGTCTTCATGTAAGCAAATTAAGCAATAGGTTTCTAGGTCGTTGTTGAATTCTATGAAAGTGTTGCAACACAATTATGGTAAATGGCAAACTTCAATGTACTTTCCGGTATTAGATTTGATACAAGGTTGATATTTAGGACGTGTCGGCCTAGTGGCTTAAGCGTGTGCCTCTTATGCCTGAGGTCGCAAATTTAAATGGACTATCTATGGACGCATTTAACACCCTACGGTGAAGAAAAACATCGTGAAAATTTCATTGTTTTTTCGAGATAAACCCATGAAATTATTATATTGTCGCTGATTCTTTATAAGTGTACAAAGTTTGAATTAAATCTGTCCGTTTAATGTGGGTCAAAATCGAGTCCGAAGGAGTCGGTTACATACATACATACATACATACATACATACATACATACATACATACATACATACATACATACATACATACAGGTGAAGCTAATATAAAGCGTGTAAAAAGGACAGCGTAATAATTTAGTTACAAAGTTTTTTTATAAAAATCATATCAAAAACGGTATCGTGGGTTAATTGTTTCTGATAATAAGTATATTATCTAGAGCAGTGTTGGCCTAGTGGCTTCAGCGCGCGACTCTTATACCTGAGGTCGTAGTTTCGATCCCCGGCTGAGCACCAATGGACTTTCTATGTGCGCATTTAACATTTGCTCGAACGTTGAAGGAAAACATCGTGAGGAAACCGACATGTCTTAGACCCAAATAGTCGTGTGTCAGGCTCTGGAGGCTGATCACCTACTTACCTATTAGATTTAAAAATGATCATGAAACAGATTCAGAAATCTGAGGCCAAGAGCTAAAGAGGTTGTAGCGCCACTGATTTTTAAGTATATTATCTCGTCATCATTTTGAACGTTGTGAGTTTTCGAGAACATTTTAATGTTAAATAATAAAATGGCATGTTCATGTTAAGTTTTACATAAGTTCACCTATTTTTGTATCAAATCTAAATTGACAAAAATAATGATTGATATGCAATATACAGTAACACAATCCTTATACTAACAAAAATTGCAGCTTGTATAAATAATAAGCACATTAAATTTGCACTTAGTACACAATAAGTTATCATGAAGGTTGCATCTTTTGGTTTGTTGCTTATCACCGTCGTAGCGGGAGCGCCCACGATCATCAACTCGATCCCTAACTACATCACCGAGAGGCAACTGTTAGACCAACTACGTTATAAAAGAAAAATTACGCCTGGATATGGCGTTGGAATGCAGATGGGCGTGGGTTCACCACTAGCTTTGTCATCACACATCTCCCCATACCTTCCATACCAATTGAACATGCGACCATATATGAACCCGTATGGCTACTCGAACTTCGGCTACCAATCACTGTATGGATGTGGACGGGGTCTCTTAAGATCTGAAGACCAGAATGACCAAGAAGAGCAAGAGCATTCACCGAACAGGCATTCAGAAATATCACCGTCAAACTTGGCAAGTGTTGGGCAGCTTGTCACAACTCCAGGTGGACCAGCGTATGGTGTATTCCCTAATGTTCCAAGCAACGACTGCAACGTTCCCCTGCTGTTCAGCTGTGCCCCGACCATCGTTCCGGGGAAGATAGCGCGAGGATCTTCACCGATATTTGGTCTGCCAGGTTTCAACGCATTCCGTGATGTAGATTATGGTGTAGATCCTCATATGCAAGAGACCACAGTCCATGAAAATACTGCTATGGGTGACGCGAGTCACGTTGTGAAAGATTAATGTTCATTTATCATAGAATTGTAATAGGTATATTATAATAAACTATTAAATTAAAATAATACGTAGTTTTATTTCATTTTAATATAATAACTCTTATTTTATGAATATAGCATTTATTCTCTATAATAGATATAATACTTGTTATCATATAATATATAAAATATTATAATTTTAGGTATAATTTTATACCTTTTTCTAGTAGTAATACTAGAGCAGCTATTTAATTATATAATTGAAAATGAAATTGAGTGAAATTTATGATCGTTGCATCATCAAAGCGTCAATATATTGTAACTATCTCTATAGTATCTCTTTTTTCTTTATTAAAATATAATTTATAATATTCTTTGATACTCGAAGTTACTTAAACCAGTTTTACCAATTCTTAAAAGGCCGGCAACGCATGCGATATCTCTAGGAGAGCCTCCTGCCCGTTTGCCCCCTGTCCTATGAAAAAAAAATTGCAACATAGTAGTACACGGGTGGTGTATGGCCTAGAGAGCAGGTTCGATTCCTGTGAAACAATAACTGTCCGACGGATTATAAACAGGCCTAGTAGGAAAACTCAATCAGTTGACTAACTCTCTCAAACGTAATTGTGCAGTTTTGTCATTTTATTATTTCACTTCAGCTTCTTCATTTACTTTGTTTTTCATAAAACGGGAGGCAAACGAGTGCTTTGCCGGTGTTTCGAAGTAGAAATAAAATCTAAATTCCTTAATTTTTAACCAAGTTATATAACATTGTAAGTTAAGTATACTCAAATACTTTAATTTAAATGTTCTTAAATTCAGTCGGTTTTTAGATTTTTTATTAATTTCTTTTTCTTACGCTACCGAGCTCCCCCTTGTGACAGCTTTGTCGCATATTGTATTGAATAATACATTAAAGTACGTACATAATTTTACTGTTTTTTTGAATATCCTGTAAGGATAAATAAAAAGTATTGAATAAAGTTTTGTTATACAATTTGAATAGAGGTTGACTGAGAAAACTGTTTAATTTGCACACCACACACATTAGGTCTGGGTCTCAGATTTCAATACCTGTTTCATGATCATTTGTCAATCTAATAGGCAAGTAGGTGATCAGCCTCCTGTGACACAGGCCGTCCACTTTTTTGGGTCTAAGGCAAGGATGAGAGTTGCACGCTGAAGCCACTCGGCCAACATTGCTCTGAACGATTATAAAGATAACATAAATCGTGATTCGAAATTCGAAATTTACCAAATATTCTATCATTTTTCGAAATTAGGGCATTACAAGTAGTGAAGTACCACTAGAAGAAACATTTTCGTTTTACTACTTACATATTGTGGTTTTACTTTTAATATATAACAAATACAATTTAATAAATTCGTTTCTATTCCCGGGTTTTTATTCCCTGTGCATTTTCACTGTTTTGTTTCAATCTGCTAGGTTCAGTAGTCTTAAAAGTAGGTTCTATAAAAATATACCAATTTCATCAATGTTTGTACAGATAACAACAATAACTGCTAAATTTATATATTATTGTCGTGACTTCTTGTGCCCACAGCTAGGACTTACCTTCTGAAAAGGGCACATATGATTAGGTGTATAACTTTATATTAGTTCACGAATTATATAGGTTAACAAAAATATTTCAGTGTCCGTTGAGTAAACTGTCAAATGAGTGCCTATAGTAGTCAGTTAATTTATTGTATTTTTTATTGTGTAATTTTGTTTTTCCGAATTAATATCTTATGTTTGTTTTTGTTTAGTCGATGAATTGTATTCACTTGTTGTTAATTTAGGGTCACCTGTTAGGTATTGCTATTGTTTTTATAAATAAATAAATAATAATCAGATTAAATTTTCAAATCGAATCGACTATGTATTCGCGTGTTGTTCCCACGAGAATATGCGTGCTCCTATTTCGCCATGCCTCATGCTGATAGAAGACAAATCTTTGTATTTAATTTATTTTATTATTATTAATTAACTATTGATCACTTAAGATGTCATGTGGAACATGGTGTTATGGTTGCAGCTCCTTACAAACATTGTGTAAACAAAAGACTAAAAAGAGCCGCGGAGAGTTTAGTGCCAGTTCTTCTCTTCCTTTCTACGCCCTTGATTGAGAACTGCCAGTAAAATTAGAAGCATCTATTATATGTTTCTTTTTTGACGTCCATTGTGTTACCTATATAAATAAATGATTATGACTTTTTGAAATATGAAGAAAAACATAGTTAACACATATGTATTTGCAGTTGTTTTATCACATATCATGACATATCTACGTAGTATGACGGATCTAGCAGTTACATACATTAGCCCTTAATTCGTATTAAGTCTAGACTTTAAATCAAGATTCAGAAACGAGACGTAGACCTTAGTCTGACTACCGTAGGTACGTTAAAATTTAAAAATATGGGAACTGTTAAACGGGACGCTCGCTTTTTGAAGGATGGCGTATTTTTTATTGACTGGGCAGGAGGCTCATCTGTTAGGTGATATCGATCATATTTTGACTTGATTTTGATATCTCTATATCTCACACCTGTCCTACTGATGAGTTGTCAAACGATTCGCCTCCTGTACCGACATACTAAAATTATATAAACACCCTTTTATATACTAATATAATACTTAATTTTCTTTGTAATATTAAAAATCCTACTCTGCGCCTTGTCACCAGAATTTTGTATGTGTTTCCTTAATATATTTTTCCTAAATTTCCTTATATTTTTTATAAGTATAAACCTAATGTGGCTGACAAACACTGTTGTAGCTAATAATCGCATTGTTCCACGACTTGGAACCACATAAATTAATGACCAACTCAAATAGCAGCATTAAAGGTACACTGCCAAAGGAGCAAACTTTTAAAATGTATTATTTTATATATTTGTAATAATTATTTAAATAAGGAACTCTTATTAGGTATATAAGTAAAGAATATATTTTAAAAGGAAATTATTATTATCGTTGTATTTAAATTCGTTCTTTATTAGCTGAATCAGTGTTGGAATTTGCTGAATACGCTTGCCCTCTTTACAACACGTACCTGCTTACGTGATTGTATGAAAAACAATTATGTTCAATTTCTTTTAATACTTTGAATCAATTCATTTTTAGTAACTAATTTTTTTATTATAAAGCCTTAATTTGAGCCATAGATTGCCGTATCTTTTATCGTCTTAGGCCTTACACCAGTCGTAAATTTTTGGGTCCAAGACAAGCATGTCATTACCGTATTTTCCTTTGCCATATGACAGAGTATTAATTGGTGCATGGGGTTTAAAGTCACGACCTCAGGGTGTAGAGCCTAACACTAGATCTTGACTTGATCAAAAGTGTATGTTATCTGTTCATACGTTGATATTTAATTCCAACACATTTTACAATATTCTTAACGTACATAGAATAATAATTCCTCATCATATTAATAATAATTTAAAACCGTTTAATAGAAAATAAAAACAAATGTAAATAGTTTGATCCCTGTATCAGTGGTACCTATAACGCTGGCAGCATTTCCTTGCTGTATTGCGATACTTATTCGTTGAGCGAGGAAAGCACCAGCTCTGGGGTCACCAGTACTATCTACCAGGCGCAAACTTAAATCTTTAATTAGCGCCTGTCTACTTGAACCCCACGGCCGAAGAGCATCTACTTCAATGGGAACAAAATTAAAGTTGGACTTGCGCCGTTTATTATTTTCCGCCTGCTCTGCGCCCGCGCCAGCTTGTCCGAGGGATGTGAGACGGGGCTGTGTCCACACAAGTACCATCCCATACCAAAACCCGTCCCATCCTCCAACGGCTCAAACATATCATATCCGGCCGCTTGCCATCGTTTCAAGCGAGGCCTGTTAGGCTGAAGACGAGAGCGGAATATGTTGTTGAACGCGGCGTGGCGAGAAAAATGATCTACTACTTGGAAATGGAGGCAATGGTGTCCAAGGCCACTTACTTTAAAGCCACAGGGACACTTAAGCGGAGTACATAAAGCACTCCTAAGCAAAGGCTGATGCCTATGCGAAGTGATTCTTTAGTTTTCTCATGAGTCTAAAGAATAGACTCTCAAGGGAAAAGTTACTGTTTTCGGCTTCTAAAAAGAACGACTGAAATTTGTACGTAATAATATCGTTTGTGGGTGCTGAATGGGTCCAACTTGGTACTTCCTGAATTCTTTATATAAAAAGATTAATACAGATTACACATTAATGAATTCAATTAAAATAACCCATCATACATTTGTTCGTGTTTCAAGCAATCTGCTGATGCTGAAGTACAATTATTAAGAACTATTTAGTTTAAGAGTTATTTTTATTTACTTATTTAAGTCTATCATATCAATATTTTGTAATTCATTTACAAAATAAATCTATACGACACGAAAACAAAATAAATTTTACCGAAATTCAATTATTATAACTTTTTTAAACTGGTAAATCATGACTATTGTCGATATAATACAGAACTAATTATGATGATATGATATGTCAAAATCCCGTGTATGAATCCAATGTATTTGTATGTATTTTGTGATATTAAGCGCTACTTTACGACTGAGAATCTTACTTTCATCTTATTTCATAGATATACGGGTTTCGGACACAAAACATATCGAGTCTTAAGTATATTTTAAGTCTGACTCCCGGACGTCAGAATGTATTTGGGTTTTCATATACGGGAGTCATAATCCGCGCTGTTTCCTTGTCTTAACACCTCCTTGACAATTGTCAAAATATACGGCGATAATAAATTCTGAAGAAATTTACTATAAGCCTAAATGTAATAAATTTTCAAAGGCAGCACTATTTTATGTTAGATACATATTTCATGGTGTTGAAACCTTTCGGTCTGCGTATCTGCGCCATCTTGTATATTCGGTGAGTCTCTTCAGACATCCAACAGGCTCTAGAGTTATTAATGAGTGAATTTCTACACATTGCATATTATCTGCATGGCCAGTGACAATAGAGAGGCAAGACTAAACCGGTGTGGAGAACTCATCTTTCTGATGAAAAA